TTTTTTGGAAGAAAAAACATTTTTTTAGCTAAATATACATATATAAAATGAATAAAATAATCAAAATGTAATCATCACATCAAACAATTAATGACATTCCAATCAAGCATTAATTGCTCTTACAAAGGTGACATTAAGGGTAGTTTGGACATTTGACAACAAAAAATGACATATTTGAACAAATTTAGTGCACATGAATTTTTTTTGTACATTTTCAAATTTAATGACATTTATGAAAATCTCCCTTTTTTCTGCCATCTACGTGAATATTATTTTTTGTCGAATTTACTTATAATATTATTTTATTGAATAACGTGTGGTTGAAAAAATATGCAAAAAATATATTTTAAAAATAATGGGATCCAAACAAGAAATAATTTTGATCACACATTTCCCCCTTGTACAGTTTAAATAAATATTAAGTTTTAATAAATTTTGATAAAAACTGATGAATTGTGGATTTGAAAAGTTGATAAAAATTGTGGGTACCAAAAAATGTATGATTGAAGNCTAGGTAACATAGTAGGGGGTGTTTGTTTTTGATTTTTTGATTCTACAATAAATCAATTCTCATTTTCAACCACACATTCTTCAATAAAATAATATTTTCCATCACATCAATAATTTTTTCTTCTTTTTCAATCACACATTTTCCATCATATCACTATTCAAAATCAATTCTTCCCCCAAAAATCTCTCCCAAACAAACTCTATGTACATCATGGAATGAGTGGTTGAAAATAAATTTGAAAAAAATAAGTTTTGAGAAATGGGAGACAAACATGGGTTTCATGGAGCCAAAAATTTTCAGTCACACATTTCATAAACTTTTACTAAAATTTATTGAAAATTTAATTTTTATTCAAATCAAATATGGACTTAGCCCTTGCTTATGAATTTCATGAAATGTGTTGTTGAAATTAATTATTAATTTTTATCAAAATTTATTAAAAATTTAATTTTAATATCCACCAAACAATGGCTTAATGTTTCTCCACGTGAGTTCTCAACGAGAGGCTAGTATTGATATCAAGCTACGAAAGAATATTTCGTACAGAAAACGTGAGTCGTGCTAAACCCCTGTTTGTCTCATTTTAAAACAAAAATCTTTAATTCTAGTACTTATTTTTAACTACGCATTCACACGATAATTTTTTTTATATGTAAACTCAAAATTTTTCGTACTTTTTAACTAAACATTCTAAAAAAAAAAATACTATTCAAAATATATTTTTTAAAAATAATGACAACATAAATTTTGACACGTATATACTGCTATCAAGTCATATTCTAGGCATCGTTTAAGGAATCCCTACTTAGGAAATGGCAAGAAATTGCGGGCTAACCAATTGGCATAAATTTGAACTGTCCAACCAACTTGCTACCATTTCCAAATAAAGTTCACTTGTAGCACGGGCGTGTCATGCCTAGGAATGCACAATTTTGTAACTTCTCTATTTTATTCATTGTAGTTCCCAACGGGCAAAAGTGACAAGATTGCATTGGTTTGGGAAAACTTAAATAAGGGGCAAGAAATATAAAATAAAATGATGAAAGCCTAAAAATTCAAAAAAATAAAAATAAAATAAAATTCAAAGAGTTCTATTTTGAAATTCACAACTTTTATCGACTTTTCAACCATATTTTTAGTCAGACTTTTATGAAAATCTACAAAAAATATATTTTTTAATCAAAATGAAACAGAGGCTAATAAGAAAGTTTCTTCTATTGTCAATTAAAAGGAAAATGCTGGATGTACCGAGGGGGTGGCTACCGAATGTGCTACCCCCCTCACAAAAATCCGACCCCACATGAATATAATAATGCCGACCTCGTGGTCCTCACTTTCTGATGTGAGTGGGGTGTAAAAGATTAGGTGAAAAATTATGTACACGTAACATGACCCCAATTAAAATTATAGTGAAATCTCAATTACATCATTATACTTTAACTTATCTTAATTTGGTCATTGTTCATTGGAGTTCAATTTAGTTTCAAATTTCACTACTATCATATTCGTAAACCGACAAAAATTACTCAATCGACAACTATACCATAACTGATCTTCCATGTAATCATTATGTGGCACCCAAGAAACAAAAATGGCTAAAATAAGGGGTATGGTAATATCTCTTGATTAAAAGATTAAAATGCATATTTTCTATTTGAACGCTTTTATGATATTGTGCAGTGATAAATTGGCACGTCAAACTACAATTACCCAAAGAGATTCATTAGAATAGATTGCTAATTAAGGCCCCGTTTAAACCAAATTATTGTAGAATGAGAATGAAAAATATAGTTGTTATTGTGACACACATAAGAGATAGAAAATTTGAATTTAAATGTTGATGTGATAGATAACAATCATATTTTTCATTTTAATGAGATAATAATGTAGATCAAACGGGGGTTAAGTGGTTTTCGTCAATTTGGAAGGTGGCATAGCAGTGAAATTTGAAACCAAATTGAAGTTCATTCACCCGATTAATTAAATTGAATTTTTGACAATCAAAATAATTTAAAATTTAGTGATTCAATTGAATATTTGTTAAAAGTTCAGTACACGCTAATGAAATATACCAAGGACGTGTTCGATAGAGATTAAAATCTAATTAAATTTGAAAAACTAGCAGATACTGTTGATTTTTATTAGACGAGTGATACCCAATACCCAATAACAGATAGTTTTTCAATTTTAATTGAATTTTAAGTTTAGCCAAACATGCTCCAAAACTAATGCTCAAATACAAAACTCTCCCAAAAGGTCGCAAGAGCCGCCACCACCTTCTTTACAATTATCCGAGAAAGATCCAGACAGAGACGGAGGAAACAGAGACTAGGACACATTAAGAAAGACCAAACCTCACCATACATCACAATTATTCACATAATACAAATTACTAGTGCCAATATATACGTATATGATACTTATGTTTGTGTATAATTCTGAAAAATACTACATTTTTGGATGATAATAAAATAAAGAGTACGAAGCACACATGACTTATGTGGCAGAGAGTCACCCAGTTGCCCCTAATCCGATGCGGTTTGGAATTCTCACCTCCGAATGCTCATCTTCAATTTTCTGCCACTCCCTCCATTTGTCTTTTTGTTCATTTTTTAAAAATTACCTTTTTCCCCGTAACTTATCATTATTTTTCTTGGCTTATTCTCTTTTTCTAGTTTATCCAGGAGGCCCTCAATTAGTTTCCTTCTGCATGCACTATTGTCAACAACTTGAAGGTCTGCTTCTACTTCTCTCTCTCTCTCTCTCTACATCGATTTTGGTACTTCAGTTTTCAGTTTGTAACTAATATACTATGTGGGTTCTTAGCTGAAATTAGTATTTGTTAAGAACTATCGATTTTCCAATTTGTGATCAAGTTTTGATTATAGAATTCTGATTAGTTTAAGGAAGAATTTGATATTTGTTAGGTGAGTATTTGTGATTGTTCAACATATACACGTGGGTTTGTTGTTTAAATTCATTTATTGTCTGGTTGACTAGTTAACCTCGAACCACCTCGTCTACAAACTGTCGACTTGGTATCAAAATGGGCAAAGAATCCTAAGTTCAATTCTTGTGGAAAAAATTGTGTAGGAGGCATAATTTAAATAAATAAAATGTTTGTTCTTTAACAATTTAAGCTTTTAGAGGAAAATGTTTGATTAAGTAATATTCTTTTTAAGATAGCGTGAAACTTGAATTAACTTGTTTCCTTTTGCTGATTTTTTGCTTAAGGTTCGATGAGTATCAAATATGAACTTCTACCTTGTACTAGTGTTTTTAATATGAAAACTGCCCTTTTCATGAGCAACTCTTTTCAAACAAACCAGTGAAACTGTTTTTCTCAACGAATGAGCTCTTAGTTATTCAGAACGAAGAAGATTTGAACTCGAAAAACAATGGATAATGGATTTTCTGATTTCTATATTCCCTATGTTTGATGAAGTTCCGGAGGGAACACTGAAAAAAAGGCCAAAGGATGGAGATTACCAATGTTACCGAGTATCAGGCTATTGCCAAGGAAAAGTTGCCAAAAATGGTGTATGATTACTATGCATCAGGTGCTGAGGACCAGTGGACTCTGGCTGAGAACAGAAATGCATTTTCGAGAATTCTGTAAGTAGTTTCATGTTACCGAGGGCTAAATTTCTGTAATTTGCTGCCCTCATTGTGTTATTTTGGGTTATTATGTTTAATTCTCGTTAACCAAGTTGCTCAAGAAAACCACAGGTTTAGGCCCCGCATTCTTATTGATGTTAGCAAGATTGACATGACCACCAGTGTCTTGGGTTTCAACATTTCAATGCCGATCATGATCGCACCAACTGCTATGCAGAAAATGGCTCATCCTGAGGGTGAGCAATTATGTTACAATGAATTATTATGTTCTGAAGTTCCATTACAATATTATTGTTTCATAATAGTATTTTGCGATAATATCATCACAGGAGCTATTCACTTGATTCGATTTTGTTATCGTTTGTATATATTGATTTGTGATATTGTCAATTACATTTTAATTTGCTAAGACTATTACTGGAACTCTGATAATCGGATCAATTTCCTATCTAGTTCTGAATGTGAATATGCTCATCGACAAGAAACGCATTTTAGTCCATTAGGTTGTTAAGGCTCAATTTTTATACTTGAAATTTGTAGTTCATTTCAAGATCAGATATTAGGCAGTTGGATTCATTATTAGTATCTTATTTAGGTCCGAATGTGAATATGTCATGAAGTAAAAGTTTGCTGTCTGATGAAAAAACTTATTGATCATGCAGGAGAGTATGCTACAGCTAGAGCCGCATCAGCAGCGGGAACAATCATGGTTTGGTTTCCCTCCTAATGTATAAATATCAATTTATACTTCACGTTTCTGATGCATTTTGATCTTTGAGTTTATGTTTCAGACACTGTCATCATGGGCCACGTCTAGCGTTGAAGAAGTTGCTTCAACCGGACCTGGCATTAGATTCTTCCAGCTTTATGTAAGACTGAAATTGCAATTTACAATTTATATTTGACCACTGCTGTTGCTTAGCTGGCTCTTTGGATACTTTGTAAAACTATGTGCTAGTGTAAGTAGATTATAAATCTCTGGCATTTTATTCAGGTTTACAAGGATAGAAATGTTGTTGCACAGCTTGTGAGGAGGGCTGAAAGAGCAGGTTTCAAAGCTATAGCACTTACAGTGGATACACCTAGATTGGGACGCAGAGAAGCTGATATCAAAAACAGGTACAAATAGCCAAAAAATTGATTCCAATATTTTTTGTCATAGGATTTAAAGCCGAATAACATGATGTTTTGGTGGCTCATAACTTGACTAAACCTCTCCAGAGGGTCATTTTTTAGTTTCCTAACTGTTCAAATTAGTGAGATCTGTCTAGAATCCTTGGATATTGGGATTGACTGTTTTCTCTCACTCCCATACAGATTTACTTTGCCACCATTTTTGACACTGAAGAATTTTGAGGGATTGGATCTTGGGAAGATGGACGAAGTAAGTGGAATAGATAACAATCAATATTTTAGCTTGTCTACTGATTCTGTTGATGAGGTTTAAACATTGTTTAACACCCATTCTGGCTTGCAGGCTGATGACTCCGGATTAGCTTCATATGTTGCGGGCCAAATTGATCGTTCTCTGAGTTGGAAGGTACGTTCACTCTACTATCTTGAATCTTTCAAAGGCCTTTTACGAATCGAAGTCTTTCAAAGGTCATGGGTGTGATTTATGCTAAAGGTTACTCGTTTTATTTAGGCATTCGAAACTTTTTTGTTTCGCTGATATCTGTTTCCTCAGTTTTTAAAATCCTAGAAACTATTTGCTTTGACTAAAAAAACATTGAGAATTCCATATAAAATGCAATAATATAGAAAAAAAAGTGCATCTCATTTGCTTGAATATACTGTAATCTGGTTTGATCGTAATGGGAAGAGACAAAACTGGATTGATTGGAGAAATTGGGATTTTTAGATAAATAAATACCTCAATTTGCTCGGTATTTTTATTCACTAAGTGAGAGTCTTGAAGAAGACTATGCAAACACAATGTCATCTCTAAATATGCACGCAGGACGTGAAGTGGCTACAGACAATTACTTCACTGCCAATACTGGTAAAGGGTGTGCTCACTGCAGAGGACAGTAAGAACCACTGAACTTGCAATATTTTTCAATTCACATGTTCTCTCTTTTCTACAGACACGGACGGAAGAAACTGACCTTTTTCCTCGTCCGAAAATACAGCAAGGCTGGCTCTTGAGAATGGAGCAGCTGGTATTATTGTATCCAATCATGGAGCTCGCCAGCTTGATTATGTCCCGGCCACTATCATGGCTCTGGAAGAGGTAATTAACTTGTTCAAGGTTTGGTCTTTATTTCATTTTTCCAATTCTTCCTAATCATACTATCCAATTTTAGGTTGTGAAAGCTGCACAAGGCCGCGTACCAGTATTCTTGGATGGAGGGGTTCGCCGTGGAACAGATGTCTTCAAGGCATTGGCACTAGGAGCCTCTGGTATTTTTGTAAGTAAAACGTACCAACACAATTGGAGTAACTCATTATATTATGGACGTAAAGAACGGGTTCTTAATTTCTTGAAATCTGCCTAGAGGTGTGAAAATGGCAGATCACTCAGGCAGACATGAAAAAGTCCAGCCCATGTCAGGGCTGAGATAATCGACAAATCCGAGCAGTGCCACCTCTAAATATGCCCTTCCATTGAATGATTTCTTGATATTTTATTCTCTGAAGTGCTCCTAAACATTTCAAATTCTCCATTTATCCGAGGTTCTCTTCTAGCTAACCACAATCTGAAAGAGTTCTTCTTTACAATGGCAATCATTGAAGTTGCACAAATATTTATGAATTTTGTTCAGCAAGTAATATATGTTAACTGAATTTAGAACCTTTTTTTCAGTACTATTGCATTTTCTGTCCTTTTCCGCTAATAATCACGTCCATTGTAGACGGTTAGAGGAGAGGGCTTATAATCTTGGAGTCATTTTCAATTTTAGAGAACACAAACATGCTGTTCTATCTGTAACTGGTTTTCGTGATTTAACATTATAACGAATTGAAATCATTTGCTGGTCTCGTTCTCAGATTGGACGACCTGTGGTTTTCTCATTGGCTGCCGAAGGAGAAGCTGGTGTTAGAAAAGTACTCCAGATGTTGCGTGATGAATTTGAGCTGACAATGGCATTGAGTGGTTGCCGTACGCTAAAGGAGATCAGTCGCAACCACATTGTAACCGAGTGGGATGCTCCTCATGCACTTCCAGCTGCTAGGCTATAGAAATGTGCCTCAAAATGTAAGCAACAGATATGGAAGACTAATGTTGGAATCATCAGATTCATGATTTCATTAGCCTACCTATCATTTGAAAAAACTCACTTCTAATTAAGAGTTCGCTATATCTTCTTAAACCGATAGTACTGAATCACAACGAGCGGGAAGATTTATCATATATGGCCTTCGAACTTGCCTTCATTGTGTTCGTTCTTACAAATTTCGAACTATATATCCAGGAGAACCTTCATCTTGCAATGTTTTCTTTACTTGAAGGATTTATATAAACTTATTGAAAGTATATGGTCCATGAGGTTTTGCAAAATTATGGTTTTCATTATGGTGTTGGTCCTTAACCTTTGCCTTGAGTATGTATATTGTCCTTAACTTTTATTTCTTGGCATGCATGTCTCTAACCGGGGATGTGCAATTGACCTTTTTTTCATACCGAAGATATCCATAATTCCATATGCCCTTATACAAATGGACCCCGAACCTTTATTTAGCCCTCGTTTGATCCTAGTTTTTTTTTCAAAATACATTTTTTTCTTCTTTTTAACCATGCATTCTTTAATAAAATAATATTACATGCAAATTCAATTTTTTTTAATCACTCGTTCTCCTTCAATTAACTATTCAAAATACATTCTACACAAAAAACAGGGCTCAAACAGACTGTTAATAATATTTAACTAGCATACTAAATAGATCTAATCTTACGTCTTGTAATTGAAAAGATTAGACTCGGTCCAAAAATCAAATTGACGGCTGTTTTAATTCAACAATCAACCTTATATTCCAAGGAATATGATGCAATTGTAGAGGTCCACTGGTTCTAACTTTGAATCTTTTTCAAAAAAGAAGTGTCCAATAAAAGAATATAGAAAGTGAAGCTTTATGCTCAAATATTCTCACACAAAGGAATTTTTTTTATTTTTTCATGCCCCTCTAAGCCATATATTAATAGCTCATGATCCACTTAAATAACATTAATCTCAATGCATGGTCTCTATTTATAATACAATATTGCATATTGAAAAGAAAATCATAATTTCTCTTTAAAATTTGTCATCCTAACATATTCTATATTATTGCGCGGTGATGATGATGATGATCATAATAATAATAATAATAATAATAATAAATCATTTTCGTTGATTTCCTAATCCTATGACATTGCAGCTTCATTTTGATGACGACGAATAGAATTTGTAATTATGATATGTTTGACATATTGAATTGTGCACAAGTAAAATGATAATTGATATTGTCTATTTTTCTTGATTTTATTTTCTTAATTTTAAACAATTTATATTCTAAGAAAAAAACTAGAATCGACTAAAATGATGAAAATGATTATTTTTTAGCTTTACATTTTTTCTAGTCCATCAACGTTCTACCGACTTGACTTTGTGAGCCATTTTGAATTAAGGATAACCGCTAATCAAATCGATAAAAAACTTACAAAAAACCCACTTGTACAGTCATTAGAGGGCTGTAAAATTCTTTGGAGTCCTAAGAAAAAACTTGCCTGCGTTACTTGCCTGCATTTGCAAGTGCAATTAATCCATTTATTAGTTTTTGCAACTGAGTTTTTTGCTTTTCGGGAAAATATTTTGACTTGTAATCCATTTATTAGTCAAAAAGTAAAATGCAATAAAAAAGATGGTGACTCTATTAGGATATTTTCACAGTTTGTCGGGGAAAAGACGGGTTGTATTTTTTTTCTTGAAAATAGTAATTAAAAAATAGAAAAAAAATTAAATTTACATATAATATTATTTTATAAGAAAGTTTGTGGTCAAAAATAAATTTAAAAAAAATAAATTTTGAGAAAAAATGAGACTCAAACACGAGGACACAGTGTAAAATAAAGGAAGAAATAGATTGACTGAAGATTGCAAATCCCAACAAAAAGAGGCAGTTATGAATATTATCACTGAAAATAATAAACAAAACAAAAGTCAATATTTTAACATTCTCATATTCATACAAATAATTAATGCATATAAGTCATTTTTCTCTTTCCTAGACCTCATCAAAAAGAAGGGTAGGGAAAGCTAAGGCAAAGTCACCTGTTCCATCCATAAACCACCACCAAAAACCACTGCCACTTGTTGTTGGAATTTGTTTAAAACATCTTTGAAATTATTCACATTTCATTATTTTTTTCATCTCTCACTACTAATTTTTTCCTTTTTCACAGATCACAGATGGATTTGTGAATTTTGGTTATAGACCCTCTTTATATTATATAATCACATACACATAATTCGCTTAGATCATGTGAAGATTATCAGATTATCTAAATCTGGAAAAGAGAAAAATCCTTATCTGATCTTTATATAGAGATATAAAGATTGGGTTTTTTGGAGAGGAGAAACATAAAAAGATTGGAGTTTTAATACATTTGGGTCATAATTTTTGAATTTTCTTGATAAAAGGCTTTTCCTTTTGTTTGGGATTTTTGATTTCATGGCTGCTGGTACAGAAGTGTTTGTTGAGACTGCAGTGGTGGATATGGAGTACCCTAGTGCAGTTGCTGTTGAGTTTTCATCAACAGAAGACACTGCCAGTGAAAACAGCACTGATAAAAAGGCTAATTCCAATGCTAAGGAGTCTGGGGAAAGGGATGTTGTTAAGGACTTTGGTTCAGATTCAAAATCAGAACTGCGAATGGAGGATATTGTTGACATGTTGAAGAAACTCAAGTTGAATCCTCTGGCTAAGGAATTCTTCCCTTCCTCGTATTATCACAGCGAGATGGGGTCCAACAATTTTTTAGGGGATAAAAACTCTGGCATTGATGGTTCCACAATAAATCGTAGGGTATAAAATCTGTTTTCCATATAATTTTACCATGTCAATTGTTAAATTGATTGATTATACTATGTATTGATGCTTGATCTTTCATTGATTATTATCATCTGTTCGGGCTTGTGCGTGTGATATAGAAATGAATTATTAGTGTTCGTTTCATATTTCTCTGGTATGCAGATTTTATTGTTGCCCAAAATAAAATTTCACAACTTGAAAAAAAAAATTAGTTCATGAAATTTATGGTGGATTGTCTCTGTTATTTGGTGGGTAAATATTGGGACTTGCATCTGTTTTTTTATGTGGTAATGGAATTTTGATGATCTGTGTGTATTGTCTTTTTGTTCGTAGGTAGGTGGGAACTGAAATGTATTCTCTTAAGACATAACAAAACATACAGATGTATTTAATCCAAAAAATGTATCCCAAAAACTATAAGAAATGATTGTTGATAGTTTTTTATGGATATGGAGTTTTGATACATGACTTGTCATAATCGAGCAATGAGTTTCCTAGCTCTAACAGTGTAATGGATAAATGATTTTAGGATTAATCTATGTGAAAAGATGTTCCCAACTGTTTGCCTATTCCATTAGTCGAGATGAAATTAATACTTTCGCATCTAAGTTGTATCCCTTGGGTCAGTTATGGCAAATTTGACCAAAACTCGGAAGTGAGACACAATTCTATCATTTAATGGATTTTCAACATTTTTTATTTTTCAAGAATGTATTGCTGCACTTGGTTTAACAGAAACTGATCATTTAACATCCAATGTGCTAGACAGTCCCTTACTTCAGTTTATCGTTTTAATTGTTAGTATTTGTTTTATTCATTCGACTTGGATAATTCACATCCAGACCATCATCTTGGTCATTGACAATCTACTTCTCACACCGAGGCACGCTAGATATGTATATACGCACGTGTATACACATATTTGATTTTTAATGGATCCAAACATTTTCTTATCAGACAATTTAATCTTGTAATCTAAAATCCATTACATGTTCAATATACAGATGGTTGAATACTTAGTGTTATTACTATTATTTGACTTTATTTTCTTGGTCGCCTTCGTCTGAATTGGTGTTCTTCTAATGTCATAGTTACTGAGTTTTGAAAACTTTCTAACTAAATTCTATTCCATTAGGTTGACATTCACGAGCATGTTCTTATTGCATTTTCTAAGATTTATATATATATATATATTTTTGTTTTCTCAGAGAAGAAATAACCACAACCAGGTCAGGAGGAGAATGGGTGTCAGGACTTTTAGAGCCCAGAGAGAAGATAGTATTAGGCGAACAGTCTATGTCTCTGACATTGATCACAATGTAAGTTAAAAGCAACAAACTTCACTCAACTTATTATAATCTTTCAGAGTAAACATTGATATAATTTTTGACCTTGTCAAATAAGGTCACTGAAGAGCGGCTTGCTGCCTTATTCAGCGCCTGTGGGCAAGTAAGTTTTGTGCTCAGATATATTATATATGAATCATTCTTTCTGAATGCATACTACTTGATTTCCTTGTATGTCAGCTTTGAAGATTATTTTCTGTGACCATAAAATACTGATAGTTTGAAAATGTGAATTTTTCAAAATTCATAGCCTTTGCCAGACCATATCCAGAGGAGTATGCAGTGTCCAACAGTTATTTCTTCGATCTTGTTCGCCAAATAATACTTGTACCTGAAATTTTCTTCATTCTGGTGGTTGTCCCTAGTCTTATTGGATACTACAAGTCCCCTAACAGTTGTCAGGAGATTGAGACAAATATTCATTTTCATGCTTCTCATAAAGTGTAACGACAAACAGATTTGCACCGACCAGTTCTATCCCATGTTCTGAGGTTGTTTCTATGGAAATATCCATGTATACTACCTTTGGTTGCATGCTCTACCAACAAATAGACATATGCAAGAGCTACATCTCTCTCTCTCTCTCTCTCTCTCTCTCTCTCTCTCTCTCTCTCTCTCTCTCTCTCTGTGTGCGTCTGTCTGTCTGTTTGTGTGACTGTACTATACTCATGGGTTGGCTCTCCCCCTCTCTTTGCATAATCAAGCACTTCTAGTGGTATTTATGGATACAATCAATCTCTAGGAATGTAGCTCTAAATAAAGACTGACCAAAAGATACCATTTTGGTATGTTGTTGGTTGCTATTCCTCTAGGATTAGAAAAACAATAATGTTGTATTGAAAGGCTTTAATTTCCATTCGAAATATTTTCTGCAAATTTAGTTTTGTGAGTTCCAAATTATATTTTTGAAGCATTGTTACCAATATCTTTGATTCCCTTCCAGATGATAGTTTTGATCTCCTTCGATATGAGTTGACCAATTGGGTTTAGAGAGAATTCAGATAAGCAAGTTGATAATGAAGGAGTAAGAATTGTTTAATAAATGATTTTAAATGAAATCTTGATTAGAGTACTTTGCCAATCTGAGGCATTCCGTTGACATACATTATGAAACTCACCAGTGCTATGCACTGGGGTGCTACATGAGGGGGAGAAATCGCTGCAGGTGATTTACAAACATAGAATATCATCTAGGGAACTATTTCCCAGTTGTTTGATCTACTCTATTCACATAATTTAGTTTTGATTAGATGANCCCCCCCCCCCCCCCCCCACCCAAAAAAAAAGAAAGAAGAAAGAAGAGAGACTAACTATCAATAATTGGAACAAAAATGAAAAGCAAGAGAGACGAAATTGATTAAGGGCGAAGTAGACAAGACCTTGTCAATGTGCAATTGCAAAAAGGAGAGTACCGGTTGGTCTGTTCGAATGATGAAGAATGTGGTGACGACGTAGGCTTGTAATGATGTCTGAAGATTTATTCATGTGGGAAGAGGAGGTGGTGGCTAATATGACTCTTAGGAGAAGATTAGACAGTGGCTGGTTGGTCATAGACCAGAAAGCGTCTTGTGCCTCGTTTTAGAGAAAAGGAAATTAGGGAAAATATTGAGGTGAATAAAATGAAACACGGTCTTAACAACGTGGAAATGAACTAAATTTCAATTAAAAAAATAAAATTCTATATACACCTTGATACAATAAGTGTACATTGTTCTCTTTGCTCCACTTAAAATAAATAAAAATAAATACATAAATAGATTCAATATCATTTTAATCAACTTGTACCCACCATATTAGCATGTCATGTATCAGTGTCCTTGCTTATTAGGTGCTAGATAATGGTAGAAATTGCCGTAGGTCAGTTACACACCTAGAGTATCATGTAGGGATCTATTCCTCCTTTATGACCTATGATTTTATCGAGGAAATATTGATTGCGACCTGGGTGGAATATGCTTTAGGTAATTTAAGTATATAATGGTGGCTTTGTAGACATTAAAGAAGTAGATGTTCTGTTCTTTCCTGAGGATGGTCCTTAATGTTTTCTGTTGATTCGTGGTACTTTTACCTACATGATGAGTAACTTTCTCCTTCTATTTGCCAAGAATAATATTTTTCTGTTGATTTTTGGTGAATAGAACTGAAACACTTGAGATATGAAATTGATGTATACCATAATGAGATGTTTGACATTTGCTTCTCCTTCTGTTTCATCTTATTCGGCAGGTTGTTGATTGTCGAATTTGCGGCGATGTGCACTCCCGTCTTCGCTTTGCTTTTGTTGAATTTTCGGACGAGTGTAAGTCAGATTTCTTTTTCCTTTTCTGTTCCTATCAATGCTTAATGCTTCTCTGATATCCGAAACCTAACTTTTCCATGGGGACTAAAATCAACAGATTCTGCTCGAGCGTCGCTTAGCCTTTGTGGGACACTGTTAGGTTTCTCTCCTGTTAAGGTGTTGCCCTCTAAAACTGCCATTCTTCCTGTGAATCCTACATTCCTTCCCAGGGTACAAACAAATCTCCGGCATTGCTAATATTATTGAAATAACTGCTTAACATGCTTTTGTCCCTCCAGTTATTTCTTCCCATTTAGTATCTCATTTATCTATTATATGAATTTCATTTCATTATCTATGCCGAAATTTTACAAATAGTCGGAAGACGAACGGGAGATGTGTGCCAGGACAATCTACTGTACCAACATTGATAAAATGGTATGCACGCCTTGTTTTTTTTCTGGTTTGATATGAGAATGTTTTTGCTTATGCTTCTCTATCCGTAGTTGCTGTTTTATCTGATGAATAATCCACTGGTGAATGAGTTCTTTTACTCACGGATAAGTTAGAAAATAAATGATTTTTAAATATGTTCATTTGATTTTATCATGAGCAGGTTTCTCAGGCTGATGTTAAGAATTTCTTCGAAACAAGATGTGGTCAGGTGTGCCTAAATTTTCAAACATTGGGTTGGATTTGCTTTTTGTTGGCTTGGAAGTGGTTAATTACCAAATAGATCTCTGAATTGTAGGTTTCCCGCCTGAGGCTCTTGGGGGATTACTTGCATTCTACGCGGATTGGTTTTGTTGAATTTTCCATGGTATGCTTATTTATACTAAAATTACTACTGCATAACTGCTTATGCATTTTTAGACACCTGTGAATATATGTAGGTAGAAATAATAACTGGATGACAGTCGATAACATTAGTTTTCTATAACCAGCATTCTTTAGATCAGGTTGGGGGTGGGGGGCAAGCTCTCTATACCAGGTCATCCTGTGGCTGGAACATCTGGAACTACAAAAACTCATGATCTTGGTGATTTTGTTTGGCATATGGAACAAACACTGGAATATGAAGAAACATGGGTCAAAGTCTAAGAACATATGGAGTGAAATGGGGCTTATCCACCCTGAGTTTCCCTGTTGCATGCCCATTCGCCTTATTGACATGGGTATGGGATTCTATGTGAGCTGATACAATTCTATTGGTCACGTCGATCAAAATGTAAAGATTCATTGAGGAATAACAATTGTAACTATTAAGATTTGGGGTTCATCCTAAAATGTCAACCTTATTAAGAGGAGTAGTCCAAGCCTGATCTATGTTTTCATCTTTACTCGATGTGAGATTTTATCCCTTAACATGGCCTCGCAAGACGGTAGCTCGTTTGAGCAAACTAATCTTGAAATTCGCATGCTTATTTTTTGAGTTTTAATGGAATCGAATCGCTCGTTGGAGTTTAATGGACTCGGATATCATATTAGGATGTGAGGTTCCATCTTAAAATCCCAACTTGATTAAGAGGAGTAGTCGAAACCCTTATAAATTGGTCTATGTCTTCATCTTTATTCGATGTGAGATTTTATTCCTTAACATTAAGTGTTCGCCTCATTCACGGATATTACGGGACTGTTATTTCCATTTCCATACCTTGTTAGGAACCTTTTTTGAAGGTTGAGAGAGTGCAGGCTATAAGATTTCTTTTAGGTTGCACTTATACAAAGTAATTGGAAGAGACCTCATGACATGAGTAGAGGGATCATCAATTAATTAGGAATTCTTTTACTGATTTAACATTGACTTGAGAATAGAAATTAAAAAAAATTAAAAATGCAGTTTTCCTTTTGTTGGCTTTTATTGGAATTTGGAACAAATACCAGACTTGATGATTTTTACATAATGTTTAGCTATTAAGAGCGAAGGATGCATTATAGATAATACTTGCTTGATTCTTCAAGTGCAGTTTACACGGTCTCATACCAGAAGCTTTCTGCTAAATAAATAAGTTATGCTGGAAATGCCCAATATAGATTTCACCTTATCACTGGATTAGATCCTGAGAAGTTTGAAATATGTTAGATTTCTTTCATTATTTTAGACTCATGCAACTTGGAAAAAAAATAAAAATAAGAAAACTATTACTTTTTCACAGGCTGAGAGTGCAATACTCGCCCTTGATTGTTGTGGCGAAATTTTGGGATCCCAACACATCAGGTACAAAGTATTGGTTGCTGTGAGATCTTTATCAAGTCGATAGGTTTTCTTTTACTTTAACAGGTTTCATAATATTGTAGGGTAAGCCCTTCAAAGACACCCGTGAGACCACGAGTTCCACTCCCGGGAATGCAGTAAGCTGATCATTTGAGCCCTGAATCTTGAAGATCGTTGGTATTAGTCCTCTTGGAAGAGACTTTCTTCTGGTTGAAGGGGTGGTGAAATTGCCCCTGTTTCGGTTTTTCCCATTTCCTGGCAACATTAACTTTTCTATCGACTGATATAACTCTTGACCTTCAACTGATCAAATTTTAATGGGATGGTTCCATTCTTCGGTACTTTTACTATGATTAATAATATAATGCTAGCTCGGTGCTGTATTGGCAGCTGTGAGGGGGAAGTTTTCCCGCTATACCATTTGATAATTAATCAGTAGCGTAATGTTTTTTTTTTTGTTGATCGGTAAAAGTGAAATATATAGATCAAAAACCATATACAGGTACATCGGGCATACCCGAGCGAATCAACAATGAAGTTACAATGGAATGACTATGGGCGTACCCAAGTAGTCAACCGATGCGAGATCCAACAAAAGAGAAATACATCATCCTATTGCTAGGGACTCGTAACAAATCAAAACATTAGGATACAAGGAAAAGATGACTTTGTATACATGTGTTTTGATACGGCGAATAAAACTATCAGCTTGCGGTGTGAGTCCCTCAAAAATTTTCTTGTTCCTAGCCATCCATATATGGTAGACGGTTGCAGTAAGGGCAATCCGTTTTGCTTTGCTATGCCAAGATGTGCCCCTACTTTCTTTTTTGATCCACTTCAAAACACTTGCGAGTGTAGACATTGAACGTCTTAGGCCCAATCATGAACGAATTTTGCTCCAGATTTCATTACTGAACGGACAGATAAAGAAAAGATGCCCAGCAGTTTCGTCAGTTTGTTGACAGAAACTGCAATTCTGGTCAATTTGCAAAAAATGCACTCTGTCCTTAGTGAGTAGCTTTGAACTGGCAGCTAACCACATGATGAAGGCATGTTTCGGTGTAGTAAAAGCGTTCCAAATACTGTTTGCCCAGATTACATTTGCCCCCTTCGGCCTGAAGAAATCATATGCTTTGGCAATGCAAAATCTGCCCAGAATTGCCCAGTCGGACAGCTTATCAATGGTGGCCTGTGTACAACTTACAGTCCTTGTAATGTAGTCAAGGATGTCCAGCAGCTTTTTAAAAAGAGGAGAGTCGTCTTTTCTTGCTGTGTACGTCCAGATGCAACTTCCATGAAGATATACTTGGTGGATCCATTTGATCCACAGGGTATCCTTCTTACAGTGAATGTTCCAGAGTGTTTTTGCAAGAAGGGTGAAGTTCCAGCTTTTGATATCCCTTAGACCGAGGCCACCTTCCGTCTTAGGTAGGCAAATATTGCTCCATGCGACCGGTGGCTTGTTGGAATTCCAAAGGAAATTCCGGCAAAGAGAAATGATTTTAGAAGCAACCGTGGATGGGATGGGAAAGATTGAAAGCCAAAAGCACTCGACCCCTTGAAGCACAGCCCTAACAAGCTCTGTTCTACCCGCATAAGATAAGGTTGCCTTGGACCAAGCAGCAATATAAGCTGAGATTTTGTCAATGAATGCATCATAAGAGCTAATTTTCAATTTGGCCGCCGCAAGAGGAATACCCAAGTAGCGGAAGGGGAGATTGCCTTTGGCCAGGCCAGCAACGTCATGAATATCCTCCATATCATGTCCATAAACCCCTGCTAAGTACAGATTCGATTTCTCCACATTCATAATAAGCTCCGACATGTTGCTAAAGTCATCCAAGCAGTTCATCATAATACCTACCGAGGTAGCATCGCCTCTAGAAAAAAGCATAAGATCATCTGCAAAAGCCAAATGTGTGATCTTTAAAGCTCTGCATTTGGGATGAAAATTGAATTCACTGTTGCTGGTAGCACCCTTCAGCATCCGAGAAAAATACTCAAGGCAAATAACGAACAAGAAGGGAGAAAGAGGGTCACCTTTTCGAAGCCCTTTTTTTTCCTTTGAAAAAACCATGAAGACCACCATTAAGGCTGATAGAGAATGAAGGTGTTGTAACGCATTCCATGACCCAATCGATAAATTTGGTAGGGAAATTTAATCCCTCAAGTACGTTCTTAAGCTCCAATTGACCGAATCGAAAGCCTTCTTTAAATCAATTTTAAGTAGGCATCTAGGAGAAATCCTCTTCCTATTATATTGTTTCAAAAGTTCTTGCGCAAGGTGAATATTCTCCATCATACTTCTACCATTCACAAAAGCACCCTGAGCCGTATCAATGATGGATTCAAGAGTAGCACCCAGCCGAGATGCGAGAATCACTTTATAGAAAACATTGCAACAAGCAATGGGTCTGTAGTCGCCAACCGAGGAACAATGATTGGCCTTTGGGACCAAAGCAATAACGGTATGGTTCACTTGCTTAAGGAGGGATCAAGAAGCAAAAAATTCCTCAATAGCATTCGTAAAATCATCCCCAACTATGTTCCAGGATTCTTTGAAGAAGCAGGAAGAATAACCTCCTGAATGTGTCTTTTGGCTAGCTGCAAGTCTTACTCCAAATGTTGAAGTAATCAGTTTTCTTCATCTGTTTCCTAAGCGACATATCACACACGATACAAATCGATTTAAGAGAACGAAGCTCAATCATTTGCCAAGTAGTTTTGTTCACTTCATTCTATCTATTAATTGAGTTAAATGGATCTCCCATCTTTTTGAAACTGGAAGTCAAACATGTATATAGTAGAGAGGTGGATGTTGCCAAGTAGATCAAGAATCTGGAATTTTATGGCCTCTCTCTCTTTGATGGTATCTTGCTAAGGAGTCGAAAATCTTTCTCTTGTTACATGAATCCAATAGATGTTCTCACGATCGTCATAGGGTGTTAGAAGAGGGAAGGGGTAGTAGGATTAAACCATGTTTGATGGCCATTATTTGGGAAAGAAGAAGTTTTGAATTGTAAGTTTTAGGAGAATGTGATTAAAAAGTATGAAAGAGTTTTGAATTTACGTGCAGAATATTTTATTTTATGAATTTATAATTGAAAATGAGTATGCAGAAGAAAGAGTTTTCAAATAATGATTATCAAACGTGGACTTAGTTTATTGTTTGAGTGAGACCCATAACTCAAATATTGATTCAACGGCCAACTGATAATCAAGGAAACGACATTTTAAACTTAAGGGAAAAGGGCATTACGAATATATGACCAAAAAATAAAAGAAGAAGACACCCATCTACTACGAAATATATTTTCTTTACAATGGATAGGGATTTTGATTATGATAAAATAGAATCTTATCCGTTATGTTATGGACTAACCAAACTTTTTTCGTTATTTTTGTTTCTTTTTAAAAAAGTTGGACCCAATAGCTGACCTGGCCCAATACGAGTTTAACACGTCTTGCTTGACAAAATAAAACAAAGTGCTTGTTTGTGAAGGATTTTTGGGGGAAGAATTCATTTTGAATAGTAATATGATAGGAAATGTGTGGTTGAAAAAGAAAAAAAAATTATTGATGTGATAGAAAATATTATTTTATTGAAGAATGTGTGGTTGAAAATGAGAATTGATTAACTATAGAATTTTGAAAATATCTTCAAACATGGCCAAAATTAGAAATTGAGTAATACAAGCAGAAATTTTCTTTCTACAAATATGACACGAGTCAGCTTTCTTGTCCTCCAAGGAGCTTTTTCTTAACATCGTATCAACAATATTTTCCTTGTTTCCAATTGGTAATCTATTAAGATCACTTATTTTGTCATATGTTTGACCATCTAATCTTGACTTTTCTCAATCTAAAAAGTTAAAACACGTGCGGTAGAATAATATGGAACAAGAAAGACATGCATCTATNCCCCCCCCCCCCCCCCACCCAAAGCCGTGTAATTTTCTCTGATTTTATTTTCAGAGTTTTTCCTATTGAATTTCTTGTATTTAAGCGCCTGTCTGGGATGGATTATAAGTGAAATTCCTACCGTTAAATGCCCAAAAATGCTATTTTTGTGACCGTTGAGCATCAAATCCGCCAGCCAAAGTTGACCAGTTCTCTCTTGTGTGGGTCCCAGCAGAGGAAGCAACGGTCCAAAAATCCATTCCCAGAAGCGGCGCCAGACAACTCCTAAATCCCATTTTCAAAGGTTGTTGATGTTTGTGTTTTTATGATATTTGTCCGGGTATACTCGGTTTACATGCAATGGCATGATGCGCTAACATTGAGATTAATTTTGTCAAAACTCGCACCGAGGTGAGTCTCGTCCATGTCCGAGACTATCTGAGGCCTCTAGCTATGTTTATGGTCGAGCATTAAAGTCATACACATTCCTTTCAGAATGAGACATCCTTTTATTCAGGTAAATCTTGACGATCAAGGCGTAGATGTTCATTCATTAAAGTGTATGCACAAGGTTGGACCCATTCGTAGTTGTCATGAGATCTAGGTGAAGCGTAATAATTTTTGCAACCGTGCTACTTGTAAAATGCGTAAAGTTTCTATAAATTTGTAATGTACGAGTTATTTTATTTATTTATTGGACTAAAAAATAATTAAAATAATATCAACAAAGAAAAACGTCATATTATTCCTAAATTCATAAGTTTAAATTCGATCTTCACGTCTCATCGTGTCTTGTGTGTTCTAGAACCTTCGTTATATCCTCTTTTTCCTTCCATTCCGTCTAAACAATAAGACTAACCCCATACATAACACCACATCCACGCGAGCGTTGCTTTAATAAATTCAAGAAAAAAAGTGTGAAGAAATTAATAAAGAAATTTAAATTCAACTTTTGTTTAATACTTGTTGACTTTTGCTTCCCAATAATTGGTCTAATTCAATTTTCAATTCATATAAAGCGTGCTGCTGTCTTCACACTGTATTCATCAATTACAGGGGACCCACACGGGAAAATTTGAATCAGGGTGGACCCAATTTGAACCCGTGATTGAAATGCCGTACAAGTAATGATTTCTCCGTGTTAAAAAACAGTTATGTCACGTGTACAAAGTTAGATTATAAAGTTGGTTAACGAAATAATATCTACCTCAATCGTTTTAAAAACAAATTTTTAAATCATTTGAAATCAACAGTCTGAATTTTTCCAATACACTTTGTAATCCAATTTTTGTAACTCAACTTTGTACAAGTAACTTTATTAGTTAAAAAAAGATGTAAACCTGACTTTTAACTAATTTTTTATTTTCAATTAAATTAAGATTTTTTTTTTTGAAATGTTAAAAATTTATTATAATATTGTTTGATATTATTTTTACTAAGAACGTGTTTTGTGAAAAGTGATTTTTTAAAGAATTTGTAGTTAAAAAGTAGGAAAAACTTTGAATTCACGTATAAAATTATATTGTTGGGAGAATGTGATTGAAATTGAAATTAATTTTAAAAAACTTTTACCAAACGGGATTAGGTGTAACATTATTATCAAAATAAATAACTAGCTGCTATTGCTAAGAAAGTTTGGGGGATGCTTCTCGTTTGAAGATGTCGAGCCACTCGCTTTAAAGAAACGCTTAAGCATTATCGAAGTCAATGCTGTATAGGTTTTGTAGCGAAATGTTATGATCGATGCCTTTCGCAAAATACATGATTGAAAAATGTGGCTCCGTTAAATCAAAACACTCTCTTTTTCTTAGATACTGTTGCTTTGACGTCGAAAGTTGAATGTTGTACATGTTGCTTTACATTCCATATGGGGAATGGAGTAGTTTATTATTTTGTGTTCTTAGCTACAAATTTGAACGCTGACATGAATCTTTAAACTGATGGCGTGTTCGATAAAGATTAAAATTGAATTAAATATTAGACGAGTGAGACCCAATAACGATCATATTTTCAATTTTAATTGAATTTTAAGCACAATCGAACACGCACTGATTGTATTCTATTTCGATATTATTCACGGGGTTAATGAGAATGTTTTTAAATTAATATAAAATGATCAGTATAAAATATTAATTAATTTAAACAGAAAGTTCCAAAGAATATTTCAATGCATTTAAGAAGAGTTGTACGACCAATGTATGAAAATGTGATGGGCATGCTTACACGTACGTAGTCACTATTGTTGTCAACAATACCAACATAAGCAGGTAAAGGGGCCAAACTTTTTCAATGTTATTAATATAGGATATAACGTTAAAAAAAAAAAAAAACAAAAAAAAAGAGATTTTCTTGCCTCATATTTATTTATTTTTCTAAAAGTACTAGGTTTTATGACACTTTCATTGCCAACATCCAAGAAAAAAAATATATTTTTTCAAATAATCTTTCAAACAAGCACTAAAAATCATTGTTCGAATATTGACTTCTTTTAGAATAGATTTACGTATGAAATTGAAAAATCAGAACACAATTTATAAACATATTACGTTTGGAATCCAGCATAAAAAGATTTTTTTCTGATACGAACACGAGTAGAATCTTGCACGTGCATATATTCAATATCATTTTTATCAATTATGGTGTGTATAAAAGACTAAATTCCAAATTATTTCAAAAAAATAAATAAGTTTTTTCTTTTTCCTCACGCAAATGTGAAAATGATCATGAAATCATGCAATTTCCTCCAAGGTTCAAGGTGCAAGATTTTCCCCAATTGCGTGCCTTGACTGGATCTGGTCCTTCTAGGCTGCCTGGATCACAATCGTCAACTTATATCATCCAGTTAATAACCGTACGATCTCGTAGCAGTACAAACTACCCCGGGCTTATTATAAATAGTCCTTAGTGTTCAATTCAATAGTCAGAACACCCACCAGAAGCCACCGTTGTCAAGCAACTTCCGCCGTGATCTGTCGCCGCAATTAAGACTCCTCCGCCGTCATTTTTAAACATTTTGAGAATTTGAGCTGATTCGTAATATGTCTAGATTCAATGGACAGCCCGTGAAGGTGGTGATAATCAACACCCAATACGTGGAAACTGATGCCACGAGCTTCAAATCTGTTGTTCAGAGACTCACCGGAAAAGATGCAGTGGTGGCGGCCGATTCATCTTCCACAGCCAAAAAGCCGCCGAGGAGTGAAACGTCCACCATTTCTCCTCCAGTTTTTTCTCGTGGAATGTCTTTTAAAGATTTTGATAGGATGCTGAAGGAGTTGCCACCACTAGATGAACTTTACAGGCTTTATGCAGAATAACCAAACCCTGTCTATATATTTATTTACTTGTTTTTCTCATTATACGTATTTTTTCGTTCTTTCTCAATGCTCCATTATTTGTTTGGTTTGAGGTTTGTGTGTGTTTTTATGATGACAATTCACCTACACAACAATCGCATAGTGGGTTATGTCTTCGCCAAGCCACTTTCGTGATCAGAGTTTCATGCAATCGTGTTCTAAGATTGGTCTCTCTCCAATGAAAATAATTACTTATTTGAAGGGAAAGATTGTGCCTCAAATCAATTGAAAACAATTCACTTTTTTTTTTTTGGCAAAAGACATCCTGTTCATGATAAGGGTTTTAGGCCTAATTATCTGAAACTGAATGAGGCATTTGGTACACACCAAGGATACGGGCCGTAGTCGTATCTTTTGAAAAGTTAAAAAATGCTTTTGAGACCTAAAAACTGCTATTCGATTCGTTTGAGAAATTATACGAAAGTATTTCTTTTAGTTACAAGAGCTCTAAAAGTACTTTCGAAATATGAATATATTTTAAAAATTAGTTTTTAAATAAAAATTAAGGTAGATTTCTCCAAAAGTTATCCTACATAAAACAAAAGCAAAAGTCACACCAAACGAACCCTTAAAACATTTACCATCCCTTTCCCAACCTACAGTTAGAAAATCCCAATTTATCCATTTTCATGAGCCAACAATCACCCCAGATAATTCATATGGAAGCCATGTACAGTCGCCAATGTAGGGAATCAACCACATTTAGTAATATTCATATTTTCAAGTTTCATAAGAATTATGAAAACTTTTCGAATATTGATGTGTGGACAACCTTATGAAACAGAGGTTGCCTACTACTACAAAGGGTGGGTAAAAATAATAGATCAGTAACTTTATTCAATATAAGAGTTGGCTAAGTGTCCCACTTGCCTTTAAGAAAAACAGGGCACATCTATCAAGGGTGACAATGAAAAAGATGGGAGCACGATGGTTGACGAGGTAGCTTATGCTTGTATTTCCATTTTATTTTGGAATATGCTACACGTACATAATACGGTGTTCATAACGGTGTCCACCCCCTATATGGAGACTGGAGAGAGACAACTTCGAATATCCTACAAAGTCGTCTCTCTCCATGTAGGGGGTGGACACCGTTATAAACACCGCATTGTGTACGTGTAGCATCACCCTTTATTTTTTTAATCCTCGCTACATAGTTTAAAGTCAAAACTTGAGAATAACAAAGATTTTGCGTTCTTCTTTCCTGATGTTCAATCTCCTGTATTAGTAATTAGTCAAACATGATAAAGAAGGTTCAACCTTTGTATAATTTTCAAGGGAAAGTCATCTACTTGCAAAGTTGGAGTGGTGATCAAGAAACCCTTCTATCTAATATCATCCACTGTCGAGTCACAAAGCTAGAGATGTTACACAAAATTCCGGTGAACGCATTTCAATCTTAATACTAATAGATTAGTAGTTATTGGTGATTTCAACTCTTGTGGTCTTCACACTAGTTGTACTTTCTGAAATTTTATTCAATACGCAATACAACACTCACTTAGATTGCTCGACCGTTGAGAAAGAGGCAAATGTAGTGGCTAGCTCCCATACTTGAGCAACACATGCTCTATGTATAAAATGATGACAAGAATTTCTATAAAAATATTAATTTTCACCTGTCTTGACCTACTAATAATATTATAGAAAACAAAGGAGCGAGTCTTGATGAGGCATATTATGCCCCCAACGATTAAAAATTTAGTAAAAGCATGCTCGAATAATAGTAGTGGAGATCATATTTAGTCATTATAACTTGTCACGTTCCTTGATATTCAGAGCAACCATGTTGTACATACGTTGTAGCGACCGAGAACTTTTAAATAATATAAACTTATTTCTCGAAAAACGTGTCGCTTTAACGGAACTCGGGGCGCTACATACGTGGTGGACGTCAGAAAATATTCAGATTGCTGACCCCTATGTACTTAAGCCTAAGTCTAGTACCTACACCAAAAAGTGCATGCTCGATAAATGGTATGGCTCGAAAATTCCTTCATTTCGAAAAGTTGCACATGACATTAGTTGTCTACGTGAGTTGTCGCGCATCGAGGCATCTCAAAGATATTGGTACAGCAGTTATGAAATTTACTACCATAACAAATTTAACATTGGATGAAGATTTGAACAAGAAGGTGTATGATTCCAACAACTATAGCAACTGCTACATTACATACTTTAATAACAGTGAGAACACATTACAAATAAAGAAATTAAAGTTAGATTTTGAAGTGGTGCAGTGTGAGATCATGGCACTTCGTAAGTACAAACCTGTTTCACCCTCTCTAACTAAGTGGTTGGATGGTGGACCAAACACCACCTTTTGTTGGGAAATAGAGTAAATTCTACCTGTCGGGTTCAACTACTCAGTCACTATCTATTGCACTCATATTCTTGAAACTTCGAAAATTTGGGTATCCATATTCCCGTCCAGCAGAAAATGTATGTTTGGACCTCGTATAGCCACGAAAATATTGAACTCATGTTCGTAACCAAGAAAAGCCATTTGCTAAGAATAAAAGTAGAACCGTGAATAATATCTGAAACATTGAAGGGTGCTTGATAACATTTCACTCCTTAAAAGCCAATGAATACCACAACTAGTAAAAAAATTAAGCCTTCTTTGTTTTAGCCCAATCATTTTCCGTATTTCCCTCTTTTTTCGAGTTAGGATTATGATTTCGATTAGTCTTAAGATACGGAACACCAACTTAATCTCAATAAAACAAAAAAGTAAGGACATCAATCAACTAGGATACCATGCATCAAATGGAATTTAAATCAAATAAATTCATATAATTGTGTATAAAGTAACCTCGATTCGGAAAATTGCTAAACCTTGTTTTGTGGAGATAAAATCAGATTTTTAGTAGGTGTTGATAAAAGTTGATGAAATGCGTAGTTGAAAAGTTGTCCCATGAAACTTAAATTATAATTTAGATTATAATTTTTATCAAACAAGGACAAAATATTTTTTATTTTCATGACAATATCTTATTAATCGGATTCCACGGATCAATTTGATCGAAAAACTAGACATTAGTTCAAAAATATTTAATTGTTCGACTTATTCTACTTTCGATCAATTAATTTTTTTGAATTAATATTTGGATCGATTTTAAAAATATTAATTTATTCGGGATCCAAAAAAAAAAAACAGGTTAAATGAATTATCACATCATTTTCTGTTTTGTTATATATATTTCTTGAAGAACACCAAATAAATAGATATATACATACACGTACACACAGTACGCTATATATGTATATCCAAAAATTCGCAGTTATCAACATAGAGAAAGTTCCGATCTTGTTTCCCCTTCCATGCCGTGCATCTCTCCGTCCTCTCTATTTGTAACGCAAACGAACACACATATACATATATATATATATATAAGGTTTCTTTTCTTTTCCCCCAAGATTTCATTTCAAGGTTCGGCTTCGTCGAGTATTAATTCAATTTCTTTTGATGGGGAATATTTTTTCTTGAGGAATTTTAGTGGGCCTCTATTATTTTTACCGAAAGTAATGGTTTTTGTCTTAATTTCTTTGTTTTGCAGGACATTTCCATGTGTGCTTATTGCAAGTTTAAGACTTTCTAGTTCTGGGACAGTGACAAGCGTGTCGCTATTAAGTGAGATCTTGTAAATAGTGTGAAAAGTAGAATTTCCCTTAAGAAAGAAAAGAAACTGAAAATTGGAGTTTGTTTCTTAAATATGGGGAATAAATTGGGGAGGAGGAAGCAAATGGTGGACGAGAAGTACACTAAGCCTCAGGGATTGTACCAACATAAAGATGTGGACCACAAGAAGCTTAGAAAACTCATTCTCGACTCGAAGCTGGCACCTTGTTACCCTGGTGATGATGAATGTGGCTGTGATCTTGAGGAATGCCCCATTTGCTTCTTGGTCCGTTTCTCAAGCTTTCTTTTCATTTCCTGCTTTTTGATTGTTTTATGCTATCATGGATTTTCTTGGTTGCTTAAAAAGTCTTCATGAGTATATTTTCTGTGATTTAAGGAATGTCACATGTGCTTCTTTGGTCTGTTTCTTGTTTTTTGTTGTTTATACCATCATAGGACATTCTTGGTTGTATAAAAGTAAATTGGGTTCAAGAGTATTTTCACTGCGATTTTGAGGGATGTCTTGAAGTCTCTTGGTCTTTTTCTCAAGATTTTCCATCATTTCTTGTTCTTTGGTTGTTTGTGCTATCATTCAATTTTCGTGGTTGTTTCAAGTAAATTTGGTTCGTGAGTATTTTTCTAATTTGCTTGTTTATGTATTCACCTTTTTCAACTTATCTTAATGGAGATTTGATATGTTGTCCATGAGTAATTAAGAAATCCCTGAGTAATTAAGAAACGAGAAAGGAAGTTTCCTTGGCAAAATAGTTAAAAGAGTTGGATAGAGGATATACTTGAACTGTTATTTAAAAGTTAGTTTAGCCTGCAAATTATGCTAAATGACAATCTGGAATGGAAATGTGTTCTTTATAATTTGTTCACGATTGAGAGTGGAACATTGAGTGACCTATATTTTTTTGAATTTCGGTTATGCCAAATTGTGGCTTGGCTCTTATCTACTTTCTTGGACTAGAACAAAGATAATTCTTGATCCGTGAGAGCTCGAAGCATGAGTTCTATAATATTTCCCACCAAAATGTAAACTTCTCTCAATATTTTCTTTTTATGTTGCATGTTCTTAGTACTATCCAAGTCTTAATCGGTCGAGATGTTGCATGAAAGGCATTTGTACAGGTATGATTTTCACTCTCTCATTCTTAATGACATTTATAATCTCTGTAGAATTTTAAACAATAAAATCCTTGAACACATTGGTTCTCTATGTTCTAGAGTGTTTTTTGCAGATGAAAACCCCTAATTCTACTCGGCCTACGCAGTATCCTTGATTTCGTACAATTTGATTTGTCTACACATTTATGTTTCTTGGATCAAAATGATTTTGTGTGACTGTGTGTGTGCACTTGCTCGTCATCACATGCTCCAGTCTATTTTGGTTGTTATTTCTGTTTTAAGGGTTTCATTTTTTTATGCTTACCTTAACCCTAATAGATGTCCTTTCTGTAAAACCTCAAATTATGCTGTGGAGTATCGAGGTGTTAAGACGAAGGAGGAGAAAGGCTTGGAGCAAATTGTATTATTGATTTATCCTGATTATTTGTTTTATCTTTTTCTTCTTTAAGATATCTCAGACAATGTTCTGACAAATAATTGAACTTTGTTCTCATCATTTACATCTGCAGGAAGAACAACGAGTTATAGAGGCAAAAATAAGGATGAGGCAGAAAGAACTTCACGATGAAGAGGAGCGAATACTGAATCGGAGAGAAATTAGTTCTTCAAGAAGTATTAGAGGACCAAGTGAGGTTGACTATTGCTCAACAGCAGGTATACGACACGAGGCCAAGTCAACACCTGTAGTTTTGCTTGCTGTGTTTTCGACCATTCACTTTATCACTTATTTTCCTTTCTATTGCAGCACCGTCTTTTTCCTCTAAGGTAGAAGGTGAGGAAGTTGTTACCTCTCTGGAGCCCTGTGCTTCTTCAGCAATAGGTCCACCTTCACATCCCAGGCAAAATAGGTATTTTACATTTTTTGTAGTCAACTTACTGTTTAATATCCTTTACTGTTTTGATTCTATACAATTCAATGTTGTGCATGGGCCACACAGTCTAGAAAGATGTGGCTGCCAAGAAGTGGCTTTTTATTTTTTACACGATAACTATCTCAAGGAAAATCTAATTTGAAGAAAAAGTAGTAAGTATCTTACTATTTTATTAGTTATTAATAATTTTATAATAAGAAAAGTATCTTCCTATCTAAGTATCTTGGGTTCTCATGGAAATTCTGTAATTCATTGTTAGAAAGCTCATTGGTATTCTGGAGTAAATCTAACTCCTGAAGACTAATATATTAATATTAGTGTGTTATAATTCTCCTTTTCCCCTGAAAATTCTGGTAGCTAAACTGAGTATCGTTCTGTTGAGCATAGTGACAATTTTTTTCTTCTAGTCGAATGCGATATTGATGCCTCGTGGAGGCAGAAGCCCCACAGATCGTGAGCTTCTTTTCCCAAAAAAGAAGCAATGACTATATTTGGGGAATAAGCATCAACTAACTCTATGCCAGCAGTCACGGTTTTTTTATGTTTAATTTAACTTCCTATAGTGGATATCTACTTCCTATTCTATATCTTTCCTATTAATGAAGTTAACTCGAGGGAATGTTAGGAGCTTTCTTTAGGGTGTTGTGTCGCATTCCTATCTAGAGGTTGGTTAATCCTAACACCTACACATTTGCAATTTAATTCCATCAACCTCATGGAGGAGCTTCACAAGACAGAACAATAAAGGTGTTGGTACTTTTAAAATAGCCTAAAGCCATCACCATCTTCGTTTCCTTCTTGGTAATGTGGGGAACTAGTTCTTATAGTTCATTAGCCCGAATGTGACGTCAATTTTGGTGTGCAAGTAAGCATAAGCATGCATTCAGTTCTTAGACGAAAACAAAATACAGATGAGCATCAATGAGTCCCTGGCTCCCTACAGTGGTCTGGTCCTGCCATGGAATGGCTGTAACTGTGAGGGATTTTGCTATATGTCTTTAGGTCCTTGTCCAACCTCCATGTCTTGTCCTTTTACTTGATTAGGTAGATCTAAAACTTAAATTCATAAACAACCTTTCCTCTGTATTCTTGGGTTTAGAGATTGCTCGTTTGAAAAATATGAAAGAATGTAGATTTTGGTTTGTTGCATGACATGGTTTTTTTTGTCGATATGTCTCTCCACAGTGGAGTGGCAAGTCTTTGTATTGTTAAAGTCTGTGTATATGTGGCCACTTGGCCACTGGCGAATGGAATTATGATAGATTAAATCTAGTAATTCCTGGGGTATACATGGACGTCCAGAGCCCAAAAACATTTAGTGACAAGGCATCAGGGACCATTCAATTAACAGAAAATTTTGTCGGGAGCAGATGAGTCAACTTCAAAAGTAAATAATGATACCATGTTATAAGTAATTCCAGACAATACTCCTGAAGGTGCTTATCTATATCATCAAGAAAGAAAGAGCACCAATTTCATATTCTACCTCAAATTACATGTGAACCTTAAGTGAACCAAAATGGTAACTAGTGGACATTAATTTACTAGCCAAATGCATGTGTAGAATCAAGAATGGGAAATCAAACTAGAAATATGAGTAAAATAGAAAAACCACAAAACCATATGTAATAGCAGATTAAGGAAATTGGTTTCAATGAGAAAGAAATGGAAGTGGGCTTGCCACTTGTATTAAATCAGGTAGAGATCAAATTAAGATGGAAGTATTTATATAGTTTTGTCAATATGTTTCTTGGTTGGACATAGAAGCTGGCAGAAAATAGATTCAATCCTCAAGTATCGAAGAAAAAATGAAGCAAGAAAGATGGCCAAAGAGACATGCAGGACTGTCCGATAAACTCTACCATTGTCCTTACAATTTTGTTTTACTACAAATCTCTTGTATTGTTTATGCATTCCATTGCATGTCTTAAATTAATTTTGTATACAGTTACTCTTGTCTCTTAATGATGATGTTAACAAGTGATAGGATATAAAACATTGCTATTTGTAGATATTTATGCTGAACAATATATCTAACAAAAATTAAATAAATGTATAAAGGAGAAATAACTATAAAATTGTGAAACCAAATAGTGGAAGAACATATTGAAATTGAATTTAATAGTAGTATTAATCTTATATAATTAAATATTTTTAGGCAATTTTGAAACCAGTCTGATGAAATTTGAAATAGAAAAAAGCGATTTGATACATCTCACTTGGAGGAGAAAAGGATAGTAATTGAGAGCTGGTTTGAAATGGTATGACTATTTCGTAGTCCTGTAATCCAAGATGCATCGATAAGGACATGTTTGTCGGACACGCTATATTAAAAAAATCTCAGTATCTTTTACTTTAATAGATTGAGCTTCTGGTGCTTGCATGAATTTTAAATGGTTTCCAGATTTTCTCAAATAGAAATTTCATTCAATAGAATAGAAATGAAATGTGTTTTAGAAAGTTATAGATAAAAGATTTGAAAGTTATGTTGATAACTGGATTAAAAATTGCTACTCTGATTTTTATAGTAAACTTGGGTTTCATGTCCTTTCTTTATTGCCCTTACTATTTCTTCTAATTCAGGGAAGACGAGTTTGACCTGGATCTTGAGGACATAATGGTTATGGAAGCCATTTGGCTGTCTATTCAGGTACTTTATTGCAAAATCAAACATTTGATATTCATGGTTGGACTCTGAAAGTTCACAGGCTTTACTTGAAAGACTATATTTGGTTTTGTCAATCTTGATGTTTCTATACACATTGTAAAATGTTCTAATTAGTTCTAAGCAGTATTAACTTTACGTCTGGAAGCTTTAAAATCGGAACACTTGTATTTGTCCTAAAATTGGAACCCTATGAGGTGCTAATGTCTTGAATACAGTCCCAAACAATTCCAGAGCTTAAGTGCATATATCTTACTATATGGTATTATTTTCATCACGTTTAGGCCCTGTTTGGTACATATTATTTTTTCATTCTCATTTTTCTATTTAGAGCTTGTTTGTGAGAGATTTTTGGGGGAAGAATTGATTTTGAATAGTGATATGATGGGAAATGTGTGGTTGAAAAAGAAGAAAAAATTATTGATGTGATAGAAAATATTATTTTATTGAAGAATGTGTGGTTGAAAATGAGAATTGATTTACTGTAGAAAAATTTAATCCCTCCCAAACAGGACCTTATTTTCAACCACACATTCTTCAATAAAATAATATTTTTATCACATCAATAACTTTTCCTTCATTTTTAACCACACATTCTCCATCAATCTACTATTCAACAATACATTCTTTCAAAAGAATGTGTCACAAACACACTATTAGTAATGTTTCCAAGTTGGATCTTCTATTTTCTACTCTGACCTCTTGTTGACTTAAGGATGATGTGTACCTTTTTTTGTGCACGTTTAATGATGATAGGAGAGCGGCAGGCATCAAAATCTGCCCTATAGTCAAGCAGCTGCATCAGACGAATACACTGGAGAAGATCGTAGTGTCTCAGCATTGATAGCCCCAGTGGCCGTTTCTTCGCCAACTCCTTCTGGCGGTCTTGCGTGTGCAATAGCGACCCTAGCCGAGCATCATCAAGCGGGTGGAGAGTCCTCCAGTAATTATGGCGGCCACATGTCTACATACAACATGCCTCGCTGTAGCAGTTTTTCCAACCAGGAACAAGAACCTGAAAATTTCTTTCCTGCAGAAAGTGCCATCGCTGCATCACCTGGTAGTCAGTTGGCAATGCCCAGGGATTCTGGGGAATGGGTCGATCATAGATCGGAGGTAACTGAAGTTGGAACCAACTATTCAGTTTCTGCTGCAGTACCCCAACAAGATGAGGGTGAGTGTAGCTTCCAACCTGTTGCAGGAACCATCGTTCCAGAGAGTTTTGAGGAACAGATGATGCTAGCCATGGCTGTTTCACTGGCCGATGCTCGAGCCAGGACAAGTGCACCAGGTGTTGCATGGAACTAGCTAAGTTTTAGAGTAATTTCTTACCAATTTACACCCCACCGCACGTTGACTTCGCCCTCATAAATTCAAGGACAACATGAGAAAAGTTGTTTTTTCCGTGAATATAAATGTACACTTGGGAAAAAGATGAAAATAATGAAGGTTTTGGCGATTTGATTTCCATCCTTTCAGGTACCCTCTTATTCATCAGTTGTGGTGCATAATTTCTAGCTTTATACCAAGTGCTTTTAGTCTGGATTTAATTGATCGTACGTATTGTAATTACTTACAGTGACATTCGCAATGAGAATTATTTGCTTAATATCAAGGATTTGGGGCTCTTATTTGATGTGAGAATATGCAGATTTGAAATTGTATTTGGGTTTTGGATTCCATTTCAGGCAAAGCTTGGCCACCATAATTTGTATTGTTAAAGCTAAAGGGCAAGGATACAGGAGCCAAGTATAAATATTCTCGATTCGATAGCTGGATTTTCTTCTGTGAAGGAACTCGCTTGTCGATCAAGGATCATTCAAATCTACTTCTTCATCTAGTTCAAATTCATGCTTTAAGCATATTGAGGGAGATGAAAATGTATTTTATCTGTTTTCAAAATGTACATCTCCATGCAATCTAATGAATCAGCAAGGAATTCATATTTTCTGTTGAATGTGTGGGTAATTATATCATGTGGTGCTTTTGCATTAGCAGAATGAAGAATTTTATATTAATGAACCTGTTGTGCTTCATCTCCTTCATTTAAAGGATCGAAACATTTTTCTAACAAAAATACTACTTGTACATCACAAATTGTACATAAGTGGCTACACACCTCTCACATGGGGTGTGGGACCCATTGCATAAATTATTTTTTAATCTAAGCGGGTCCTACCCTCATGTGAGGGGGGTGTACACCTCGATGTACAATGTGATGTACAAGTAGCAAGACCGTTTTTCTAAATGAGAACTGTCGAACTTAGAGAGCGTATTCTTAACTATGTAAAAGTCGCGATTCTCTTAATTTATCTCATTTTGTATTTCCTTCATTTGTTTGTGAATTATTATTGGTTCTATGTGGCCCTTGTTATTTGAGGCAATAAAGTTACAGGAAATTAATGTCTTAAATAACAAGTTGGTACATAGAATGACTACTGCAGTTGCTGATTATAAATATCAATACTCGAATGTTTCACACTAGAATAATATTGTCAAATATTCTTTTAAGACAATAGATTCACTATAATTATTTTAAAATAAAAAAAAATCATGTCTATTAAATATAAAAATTATACAAATACAAACTAAAGCATAGTCATCCATAGAATGGAAGATATTTTATTATTGGAATATTATTATAACATTGAAAAAAAGAAAGGAGCATCTTCGATGCACAAGTGAATTGCATAAAAAAAATTTGATATAGGTAAGAAATGGAATTCAATAGTCCTATTCGGATTATTACGTTCATAATCAATATGAAATGGAATTCATTTGACATTCTTAAAAAAATAAGGTATGTTACAATCCTTTCACGTCTCATCATGTTGCCATCCCAAATGCATAGCTCCGTTCACGCCTCATCATATTGCCATCCTGACTCACTTATAGTCGTGACGTGACAACTAGCTAGAGTTTGACAAGTACAAAATGCACTCAAACCACAGTGGCAAATTCAGCACCCAACGAACATCAATCCAACGGGCCCAACCTAAACAGTTTAAAAAATTTCCCTTATATTGAACGGCCACTTATCCTCTGATCTCGGATCCGCTAGTGCTTAACCATGATATTGAATTAAATTTAATTCCCTGACAACTAGATTTTTTAAATGGTATTCATAGAAATTACACGTTTTTTATGTGGAGAATTGTTCACCACTCATCCATAATCGCACGGAGTGATAAGGAAGTGGGGCAGCATTGAATTTGAATCTATACTAATATAATGACCCTTGCCTTCGTGCATTGCACCATACAAAAATCTCTAACCAAAAATAAATAGCTATGCCATCTCTCTCATTGTCATGGACCGTCGCCGCCACCTCCTCTTTTCCATCTTTCTCCGGCAAGCCATCCACTGCTAAGTCGTCTACGCGTTTTCACGTGTCGTGCAATGTAAGAAATGATGGCCAAAATGCACCAAACTCTCGAGGGAAATTCGATAGGAGAAATATGCTTCTTGGCTTGGGAGGCATATACGGTTCCACTTTAACGTCGAATCAACCGGCACTCGCTGACCCGATACAACCGCCTGATCTTAGTAAATGTGGGCCCCCGTCGGATACAAGTACGGGGGAATCACTGGACGTCAATTGTTGTCCCCCTGTAAAACAGGCTGTAGACTACCAGCTTCCTAGACCGACTGTGATGCGGTTCAGACCGGCTGCACATTTGGCCACTAAGGAATACATAGCCAAGTATAACAGAGCCATTCAACTCATGAAGTCACTTGAGGACGACGATCCACGTAGTTTCATGCAACAAGCCAATATTCACTGTGCTTATTGCAATGGCGCATATGACCAAGTAGGGTTCCAAGATTTGGACATTCAAGTTCACAATTGTTGGCTCTTTTTTCCTTTCCATAGATGGTACTTGTATTTCTATGAAAGAATTTTGGGAAGTTTGATTGGGGACCCAACTTTTGGTTTGCCATTTTGGAATTGGGATAGTCCAAAGGGAATGACTATTCCACCCATGTTTCTCGACACAAATTCGTCCATATTTGACACAAAACGTAACCAAAATCACCTCACGAGTATAGCTGATCTTGGGTACAATGGCACGGACGACGGGAAGAGTCCTTTGCAAACAGTGTCCAACAATCTCAATATAATGTATGGCGAAATGGTTCGTAATGTTAAGTTGATCGAGGATTTTATGGGACAACCTTATCGTGCAGGAGACGCAGTCAACCCAGGGGCGGGTGCATCAGAGCGCGGTTCGCACACTGCCATCCATTTGTATGTTGGAGACCCGAGGGAGAGGCGTTTAGAGAACTTAGGCAACTTTTACTCTGCCGGTCGCGATCCATTGTTCTATTGCCACCACGCGAACGTTGATCGAATGTGGAAAATATGGCGAGACCTAAGAGGCTCGAAACCTAAGGATTTCAACGATAAGGATTGGTTGAATGCTAGTTTCGTGTTCTACGATGAGAACGCACGATTAGTGCGTGTTAAAGTTTCTGACACATTGTCCAATGAAAGAATGGGATATGTTTATCAAGAAGTGGACATTCCATGGCTCAAGTCCAGACCTCAAGCTCGTGTACAAAAATCCAAAGTGGCAACCACTTCTGGTGCTCCATCGATAGCCGACGTTAAGTTCCCAGTGGCCTTAGACAAAGTCTTGAAAGTCCTCGTCCCACGGCCGAAGAAATCAAGGAAACAAAGGGACAAGGAAACAGAAGAGGAATTACTGGTAATTCAAGGGATAGAAGTGGACACGGCTAAATTCGTAAAGTTCGATATTTTTGTCAACGACGAAGATGACAAGATCGATGAATTGGACAAGTCGGAGTACGCGGGGACCTTTGCACAAGTACCCCATAGTCATAAAGGACCTAAAAAGATAAAGACGTCGATTAGGCTGGGATTAACCGAACTGTTGGAGGATTTGGATGTAGAAGGTGATGATTCAATCTTAGTGACTTTGGTGCCACGGGCTGGAGACGCCACCATTGGTGGTATCAAAATTACATATGTTTCTACTTAATAAGTCAGCAGAGTGTACTACTGCTGGAAGTTCGCTTTAATCAAAAATAAGACGTTCGTATTATTTTGATTTCTTTGCAGTTAATTTGCTTGCTTTTGCAATTTGGGTGGTTGGTTCCAACGTATCCAACTCTTATTCATGACTCAAACTTGGTGCAAAACTAATACAAATCAAAGGGTCCCACTAATTAAATTTACTTTCGAACTCTAAAGTCTGAGAGCCGTTATTCTCATCCATCATTTTTATATTGATGATTATATTGTTATCACAATTTTTATTGGATACACCACATTTTAATTACAGTTGAACTCTTTAACGTTTGTTCATTGTGGCAATTATTTACTTAATTTTTTTTCAAACGAATTCTTATCTTTAACCTTCCATTAATTAGTAAGTAGTCTTTGATGATGATTTATATCAAAATATTTTTTCCAGGCCTTGAAATGAGGAAAAAATAATTTTTTTTCATTTTTTGTTTATAATTTTTTTTAAAAATATGGACGGACAAATAAGTTGTTTTACGCTATTTCAACGGATTTTTGGATATAAATGTATTATCAAATAAAACACATGTTAACTAATGAAAAGTTTGAACATAAGAATAACACGAGAAATCATTAGGGACATAAGTCTTGTAATGAGCAAAGATTGAGAACCCTAAGCGCAATTAAAATACGTTGCAAGAAGTAAAAATTTTAGTGTGAATATAATTACCCCTCTTATACATCTATCTACTTTTTTGAAAAGTTTATATATTATAAATTTACTTGAATAGATAAGAATAAAAATAAATAAAATCTAATTTCCTAAATTCATCCATTAATATTTATTTTGGTAACTTATTTATTAAATTAGTAAAATTTTAGGATTGAAAATCACGTCGTGAATTTGCATGTGTCCATGTTTTGTATATCTTCTAAAGTTAGATATGTAGTAATTCTGCCCCTCTAATCCCTGCACGACAATGATCAAACTGAACTGGCGGTTTAGCTTTTGTTTGGTACACATTCTTTCAAAATACATTCATTATCATCATATTATTATTTAAAATATATTATTTCATCAATAAAATCCATCAAATACACTCTAATATATTTCACTTTTGTGAAGTTATCAAAATCTGAAGAAATTAAAGCCCCGTTAGAGTCCCATTTTTTCAAAACTCATTTTCAACCACACATTATCCTATAAAAGAATTATATATGTATTTCAAAAGGATTTCATTATTTTTTTAACCACATATTGTCTAAAAAATCATTATTCTATAATATATTTTAGAGTAATGCTATTCATCTCCACTGGGGATGAAAATACAGTCTACGTGATGTCAATGTGACATTAAATAATATGTGAAATTAAATAAGTCATTTAATTTCACATTTCATTTAATCTATCATTTTATGTCACAGAAACTATTTTTCATCATCACTTGAGATTAATAACATTACTCTATATTTTACCCCTGGGAGGAACTCATCATCTTGGAAAACACAAGCCAACCCAACATGTGGAAAAATTTTGTAAGGTCTTTTTTATGTACGTATGGCCCCCCATTCTCTGCCAATTTTTTCAAATTTTTTTTATTAAGTGTGGGCCCCAGATCTGACATAAAGGCCGTTTCCTCTGACAACGACAAAGGCTACATGACTACTCACCTTTATGCACCCTTTTGCAAATTTTAATTGTCCATTTATGCCCTTCAATTTATGATAGGTGAGATTGGCATGGTAGGATGGTGGAAGACTTGCATCTGAGGACAAATTGGTCCAACAAGGCTCAACGACATTATCTTCTTTGCCCCTATTTGAGAAACATTAAGGGCCCGTTCTCTTTGCCATTTTCAACTTATTTTCTGTTTTCAATTTTTCAAAATAGTGAAAACGAGTTCTCTATCCTATTTTCGAAAACGCGTTTTTGAAAACGGGTCGAAAATTTACAAAGAAAACACAAAACGACAAAATTGTCGTTTTGGGTGTTTTCAGTTATAACTTGGCCAAAATTTCCAAAACATGTTTTCGTTGTTTTCAACCACCGACCACCACT